ATAAATAAAATCTTTAAAAAAATAAAATAAAATAATAAAAATAAATAAAAAATAAAAAGAGTCACATGCTCTCCCGACTCGGCCAGGCACCCGAGAAACATTATTTTATTTTTATTTTTAAATCAAATATTTTATTTTGGAATAACTGTAGATTTAAAGAAAAGCTGCAAAGATAGTACAAAGAGTTCTTGATACCCTCCACTCAGCTGCCCTTGATGTCTCTACATTACCTGATCCTAGAACATTTGTCACGACTAAGAAGTTAACATTGGTACATTACTATTAACTAATCTACAGTCTTTATTTGATTTTGATTGATTGCCTGGTTTTTTGGGGTTTTTTTAAGATTTTTATTATGGGAGAGAGAGGGAGAGACCATGAGCAGGGGGAGGGGCAGAGGGAGAAGGAGAAGCAAGGAGCCGGGTGTGGGACTGGATCCAAGGACCCTGGGATCATTACCCGAGCTGAAGGCAGACACTTACCTGACTGAGCCACCCAGGTGCCCCCAGCATTGCTTTCTTGAAAGGTCCCCAGTCGTGGTGTTTATACAAGGTGAGTGGGAAGACCTAACTTTCTTCAAGCACGCAGTGGGAACCCACATCCTCTAGTTTGATTTCACAGCAGCCTCGTAAGGCAGAAACTGTGGTAACCCCCATTTTACAGATGCGGAAACCAGGGTCCAAAGGGGCAGGCCTTCCCCAAGGTCTCTGCTTGGGGATGATGCCAGATGATGATGATGGGGATGCCCCAGGGACCCCGCCACTAGAAGCTGCAAGGGGGGCCCCAGAATGGACACAGAATGAGGCTCCTGAGCTCTTGCCTTGCGCTCTTTCAGAAATGGCCGAGCGGCACAACATGAAACACATCCTGAAGCTGGCCCGGGACCTCGTGTACAAGGTGCAGACTCTGATCGAGAACAAGTGAGGGCCTGCTCTCCCCGGGCCGTGTCCGCCGAGCTGCCCGCCAGCCCGCTTTTCCTCCGGGCTGCCCCGGCCGCGAGGTCCCCGTGTCTGTTCATGAGCATGGACTTCTGTGCAAAGAGAAACTACCCCAGCTTTGGCCACCCAGGCAGGTGGGGTCGAGGGGTTGCCCCTTCAGTTCAGCCTTACGTTTTTCCGTTTGACCAAAGATTGTCCAAGGGAGTCAGGGTGCGTCAGCGGACGGAGGGAGCATTTTCATGGGTGGCCTCCAGAACGGTCGCCTCTCTCTTGTACTGTCCCAGTCCCTCCAAACTGTTCTGTCAGATGAGACTCAGGGAGGGAATTTTGAGGGGAATTGGTGTAGGAGAGGTCTGTGGGGCTACCTCTGTGCTCCGAAAGGGGCCTTTGGAGGTGTTCCGGAACATGGCTGGAAGGTTGGCTTGGAGCAGTTTCTGCACCCCGCACTGTGGACGTTGGGGCTAGGTAGTCTTTTTGGAGAGGGGACGTGTAATGTAGGGTGTTGAGCAGCATCCCTGGCCTCTACCTGCTAGACGCCAGTAGGGCCCCCTCCCCAACCCAGTTGTGACGACCAAGACGTTTCCAGATGTTGCCAAATGTCCCCATTTGGGAACCACTGACGTCGAGGAGGGGCTACCGATGTATCTCCCTCCTCGCCTTTCCTTTACAGGGCCTGTATCCTAAGGCCCCTTCCCATTCAGAAAAGGCACACGGGAGTCCACATCCCTTTCAGGGGCTGGATGCTGTTTGTTGTATTCTCTCATTTTTTTCTCCCGACTCCAGGAGAGACTTCTTTTCTTCTTTTCAAGAAAGGTCTCTCCCTGGAAGGGTGGTGGAATGTGAGAAATGTCTGTAGGTGTGAGACAGCCTGAGGCTCCTTGGGGTCCCTCCCAGAGTCCCTCTCCTTCCCCCCCATACAGGGCAGAGTGCACATCCCTTTCTTCCCCTCCTGGGGAAGACCTCACCTCTCCTTCTGCACGTGGGGTCTGGTGCTCCAGAGGCTTGGAAGGTGTGTGTTGGTGAAAGCTACTTCTAGAGAAGTCAGGGAGGCTGGCTTTTCCCTAGGTGCCTTGGCTCGCACAGGACAAAGGAGGAAAAGGAAGGCAGAGGTCAGCCAGGGTAGACTGAGGTCAGCCAGGGTAAGACTGGGGCATGTGTTTTCCTTGGGAAACATGCCGATGACCTGGCGCCAGGGTCATGGCTAAGTCTGGGAATGGTCCCCTCCGTGTCTTCACACAGAGGGTTGCCAGTCACAGACAGACCCTGAGCTAGCTGGTTCGCCCTGCCTACCTGTCCTTCTGCTCGAGCGGTCCTGCCAACCCCCTTCTGAGAATGCCTGGGACTCAGGAGAAATAGCGTCAGTTTGGAAGGCTCCTCCCCGGAATGTCAGGGAGGATTTTGGAGAGGGGAGGAGACTCAAAGCACATGGAAGCGTTCATAGAGAGAGTACATTAGTCCTCTGTCCTGAGCAAACCAGGAACGGGGAGGAATCCCTGCCTTACGTGCTTGTGAAGGCTAATCCCTCGGTCCCAGTGCCTTCAGCTGCATCCACCATCCCCCCCCGCCAGTCCCTGACGTGGGGGCCTCTTGAGGAGGACGGACAAGACCTAAATGACCCTTGCCTCCGAAGAGTATGCTCCGTGACAATTGCATCTCCCCGCTCTGGTCCCCTGCCTTCCCAAGATAGGGGTAAAATATGTGCAAAAGGCCCCTCCGGATCAAAGACTATCTAGTCACTCAGCTGTTCATTACAGAGGACATTATTTTAGCAAGACCCAGGTCCTAGACCTTCCGATTCTTATTTATTTTCTCAGACCAGTCACAAAGTACAGCACACAGTCTCTTCTCCGCTTTCTCTCTTGTGGTGTTCCAGAGAAGTGTCCGTGGTTGTGATTTGGAACAATTCCTATTTATTCGGCTTACTGTGCTTTTTTCGGTCTCTATACATCGTGTGCGTCCTTGTGTCCTGGAAATCGACTGTGTGGGAAGTCGTTCTGTCTATGGAGTGCCCTCCTCCTTTTCTTGTAACTGTTTCCTGAAGAGTTGTGTCTATATATAGAGAAAATACATATAAACAGAAATGTGTGAATATGGGTTATTTTTCGTTTCTGAGCTGCAGGAATTTTTTTTAACACGAAGGAGAGAAATATTCCCTGTGGAAGACTGTCCTCCCAACCCCACCCCAGTGACCCAGACCCAGACGGAGACCGAGTCTCATGGTAGCTGCCTGGTCTTTCCCCAGGAGGTTCAAGGCAGGCGAAACACTTCTCGCTCCCTTGTATCAGTTAGCTGTCAGCATGAGTAATGCTGCATAACAAAGCACCCCAAAGCTCAGTGGCCTCACACTGCCATTTATTTAGCTTGCAATTCTGTGGGTTGACCGCATGGGCTGAGAGGGTCTTCTGGTCTGAGATGGACTTCTTCATGTGAGTGGTCAGCTGATGGCCACCAAGGCGACTCCGCTTCTGATGGTTGGCCGGCTGTCGGCCAGGAAACTGGGGGAAACTGGGCCACGTGTCTCTCATCCCCTGGCAGGCCAGCTCAGGCTGGTGTATGTGGCCATGGTGGCAGTTTTCAAGAGAGTAAGCAGAAGTGTGCAAGGCCTTTTGAGACCTCAGCTTGGAATTGGCATGAAAGCATTTGTTCTACATTCTGTGGCTCAGAGTAAGTCACATGGCTGAGTGCAGATTCAAAGGTGGGGGATCCCCCAAGATCCAGTGCACAGGAAGGGTCCCCAGATGGTCAGCCATTTGACTCGGGGTCAATACGTCTACGTTGGCACCTGCTGAGAGAGCTCATCTCTCACGCCTGATGTTCCCTCCCACAGATGAGCAGCTTGACCCCCTTGACATCCACAGTCCCCGCTCGCGGCTACCATTCAGAACCTTAGCCATCAAGCAACGGGGACCTCTCATGGATGTCCACCCCTCGGAGCCTCTAAACATGGGCCAAGGGAAACAACTAGCTTTCAGCTGCAGAAGCAAAACTTGATTCAGTCTAATAAGCACCCATCAAAACTGCAGGTTTTATTTTATTTTTTTTAAAGCTTTTATCCATTTATATGACAGAGAGAGACACAGCGAGAGAGGGAACACAAACAGGGGGAGCGGGAGAGGGAGGAGCAGGGAGCCCGATGCAGGGCTCGATCCCAGGACCCTGGGATCATGACCCAAGCCGAAGGCAGACACCCAACGACTGAGCCACCCAGGCGCCCCAAAACTGCAGGTTTTATATAGAAAAAGTTAGGTTTCCAAATAAGCCAGCGAAGTAGAAGTACCTCTCTGAGCCTTAGTTTTCACTCTGTGCCCTGAGGATAATAATGCCTCCCCTTATTCTGGATGCAGCCCTGACCCCCTTCTTTCACTGGGACCCCTCTGCTCCTCAGCATCTCCAGGGCATGATTTCCTGGTTGAGACTTCAGTGTCCCTGAGTTACCAGCATCTACCTAGCTCAGGTTCTCAGGTGAGGCTTTGAAACCTAAGAGAATATGGCTCCTGGAGGAGAGGTCGGGAAGGGGCGAGCTCCCAGCCCTCTTGGGCCATGACCGAGGAACACAGCAGTTAGGTGTGGGGAGGCCGTCAGTCCTTGGCGGGAGCAAAGCCCGAGCTGACTCTGCAGTTAGCATCTGATTTCGCCGAGTTGGGAAAAGGCTGACAGGTCTCTATGCTTCTGGCTTTTAAGCCACCGGGCACGCTGAGAGCATGAGCCCAGGACAGGTGGAGACGAGAGGAGCACAAATTGATCGGTTTTGAAGGGCCAGCTTGCCAATCTGTTGGTAAATCAAACCTGAGCAGAATTAAAATGACCCACGGGTCCATGCAGTTCCCTGGGGATTTTCCATTATGTCCGGGTACCGTGTAGGAATTCTCCAGTGTCTCCTTGGCTTGCTTTCTTCAGACCTGGGGGCACAGTGATTTCCAGCCTTTATAGACACAGGGCTCCTTGAAACAGCGGAAGCCCCTTGTTTTGATCAAGAGAAAATAAGACTGAGAGATCCCTCTGCCTCAAATAAGGACGGGGTCTCCCTGTAAACTGTTTCTCATTAGGGGCTGGAGAATCGCTCCCTTTGGCATTGCTGAAACAGTTCAAAGGGAAAATTAAGGGACTTGGGGGCCATTGAGAGGTTATGACAGAGGGGACGTGAGTGACAGGGGCCGGGGGCTGAGTTTGGGCTTCTACTCGGCAGCATCCACTTGCAGGACTTAACCCCAGGACCCTGAGTTCATGACCTGAGCCAAAATCAAGAGTCAGACACTTAACTGACTAACCCAGGTGCCCCTCTACTTTTCTCTAAAAAAGCTGTCAAGTCACCTTTATGGTTCCCTCTGGAAGGTGAATGCAAGCTGCCTTCTGTAGTCTGTGTGTTTTCAAGATAATGGAGTCGCTCCTGGGGGTTGTTTATGGATGTTCTTGGTTGAGCATTTAAAGCTAAAAGAGTTTGATCAAGATAAGCTAGGTTGGGCAGAGGGAGCAAATCCAGGTCTTATTTTGCCTCCACCATAGAGGGTGACAGACCTGGGTTCAAATCCCAGTCGGCTGTGCAGACGTAGGCAAGTGACTGTACCTCTCTGAGCCTCAGTTTTCACTTCTGTGAACTGGGGATAATAAAGCTCCCCTTCAAAAGGGAGCTGGGCATCGAATGTTTTTGCCTAGCCAGCATCCTTCCCCCGTTCCAGTACCAGCACCTTCTCCCATGTTCTGGGGAGCTGTATCTCTTACGTTACAACCATGGTCTTCTAGGGAGACTGCTGATATGCCCCACCCCCAGGGGGCACATGACTCTGTCCTGACCAGTCGGATTCCTTCCCTGGGAAGAGAGCCATTCACACTTTCTTTCCGCAGTGGCCAAGCTAAGAGGACGCCAGCCTGGAGCTGCCTGTGACCATGTCTCCTGCAGGTAGTGGAGCAGGTGTGGCTGGATCCAGGTGCCCGGATGAGGTCCTTAGAGCTCCACCTCGGTCCATGTGATCATTCCGCTCTCCTCCATGCTGATGTACACCGATTCCATGCCCATCTCTCAACCAGCCTTTCCCACCAGGCTTTATTGGCTAGAAGGGCTCATTTATCCATAATGTGGGATAGTCAGAGAGTTGCTGGGGGTCATCTCCCAAGGAAAGATTAAGGTGCTGCTCCCAGAGAAGGGCAATGGGTCATGATAGGCAAAAGCCAAGACTGACTCCAGCATCCCTGGCAGAGAGAGGGTGTGCAAGGGCTGGAAGTGTGAAGAGGCCTTCCGTGGGCCCAGAATTCAGTGTGGCAGAGGGAGAGGCACAGGGGTTGGGTGTGTGACAAGAAAGAGGCTGAAGAGAGAGCTTGGAATGGGATCCGGAAGGGCCTCTTGGGCCCCAGGTAACAGTGAAGTCTCCACATCAGTGGGGCTGTTTACATTGGGGGGAGGATGAGACAGGTCCCCCCTATCCCCACCCCAACACAGACACGCTTTTGTACAAACTCTTCTTGTCCATCTGGGGACTCACTAAATATTTGATTGGGAAAGAAAGAATTCTCAAATTCTCCAAGAAAAGAGGAGTTCTAAAGATGGAGGGGCGCAAAAGGGAATATGCACGTGCCTATTGAAAGATGCGGTACTGGAGGGACGGCTTGGACTCAGAAGCCCTGGGTACTCTTTTCTTTAAGTAAACTCTACATCCAACAGGGGCTTAAACTCAACAACCCTGAGATCATGAGTTGCATGTTGCACTGACTAAGTCAGCCGGGCGCCCCTGGCATTCTTCCTGAATAGATGTAGTTCTCCTTCTGAGGAGTCCTGTGAAGTAGGATTATAATCATAATAAGCTGAAGTTTGTTGAATACAATGGGGCCTTAACATGGTGCTAAAGCGCATTATTTACACAGAGCATCGCAAGTTAATTCTCATAACAACCCAATGAGGTGGGCATTATTTTACACACACACACCCCTCCCCCCCGCTGCCCCCTCCCATTTCACGGAATTCGCGGTGGTCCAGAGAGGTGAAGTGATTTGCCCGAGGTCACACAGCATGGAGGCAGCAGAGGTGAGGTTTGAGTGCGGACTTGCAGTGATTTCATACCACTCTGAAGTGGGCCCTTTTTGCTCCTCCTGGGAAATTTTTATTTGCTCCTTTCTGGCATGAGGATGATTTGCTCGGTGTCACCGGAGAAGAGGATGATCCTCCCCTGGACCTTGGTCATGCGGAGCCACCTAATCACAGGCAGGAAGCTAGCTAGGACTGCGTTGAGGATGGCAGTCACATAGCCCCAGCCCAGTTGGCACTGCCCACCGTGGTACACAGAGGAGGCTCCGCAGGCTTGCTTGGCGAATGCGGAGGCCAGGCTGATGGGGAAAACCGGCAGGCCCACAGTGGTGACAGTGACTGGAGACAGCAGGAAGGAACACCAGCGTGTCAGTCAAGGCTCTCTGGGCTAACCTCATCCCAGGACTCACTGATCCCCCCTCCTATCGACCCACCGATTCATTGATCCATTCACTTACATGTTGACTTATTACCTATCCATTTATCTCATCACTCAACTAGTCTTCCACCCAGCTATCCGTCTACTCACCCATTCTTTCAACCATATTCTAACCCTCTAATCTCTTCATCCCCCTCTCCGCCTATTCATTCACTTATCCATCTACCTGTCTGCCCACTTAGCCACCTGCACCCCACCCATCCATTCACCCACCACCCACCCAACCCCCACCCATCCACCTACTCAACCATCCACCCATCCATCCACCCACCCAACCAACCATCCACCCATCTATCCGTCCACCTACCAACCCATCTGCCCACCCACCCATCCACACACCCATTGCATCCATCCATCCACCCAACCATCTATCATCCACTAATATATCCATAGATCCATCCATCAGTTCACCTACTTACGTACCCACCCATTCATTCATTCATTCATTCATTCATTCATTCATTCATTCATTCACCAACCCACCTATCTGTGCATGCATTCATTCATCAAAACTGTTACAGGTGCTGTGGTGGGCACTAATGACAGTAAGGAAATAAACTTTACACCTCCTCACCTTCAGGGCACTCTCAGTGCAGAAGAATCACATGACCCTAGCTTCTCTTGCTGTTCTTCAGCCACATTGGTCTGCTTACAGTTCTGTGAACATGCCTTGCTCACTTGTCTCTAACCTTTTGCCCCCAGTGTTCCCATTACCTGAAGTTCCCTTCTATATTTAAGCAATTCCCACCTGTACTTCCAGACTCAGCTCAAGTGATACCTCCTTCAGGAAGCCTTCTTTAACATCCTCCACCCTCCTGGAGTTTTTCCTTGCATCTTGTGCTCGTCCTTATCTTATCAAATATCCACTGAGTTGTAACTGCCTGATGTACCCCCCCACCCCCAGACACTGCACAAGCCTAGGACAAGGACTATAGCTCCATCCATTGATTCAACAAATATTTAGTGAACATCTATTATGTGCGAAGGCACCGTGCCAGATGCTGGTGATGTCAAGACAGACCTGGCCTTACCCTCAAGGAGCTGATGTTGTAGTGGAGAGAGATGAACAATAATCAAGCAGGCAGATAAGGTAAGTAAGTGCTGTGAAAATACAGAGCAAGGTAAGAGGTAGGAGAATCTCAGGAGAGCGGGGAGCTCCCTTTACCTAGAGGCCATCGAAGATCTCACTGAGGCAGTGATATTTGAGCAACGTAGAGGAGCAAGACATGTAAGATCTGAGAGAAGAGAATCCCGGGCTGAGGGGACAAGCGTGGTGTATCATGGAACAGAAAGCAAACCATGTGGCTGGAGCAGGTTGAGCCTGGCAGAAGGGATAAGAGGTGAGATTGGCAAGGGAACGAGGGTTTCATCAGGCAGAGCCTCATCAGCCATGACAAGGAGTGTGGATTTTACTCTGAGTGTAACAGGAAGTCACTGGAGGCTAGATAAACCAGTTTGAGTGGCCCGATCTGATTTCAGTTTTAACAGGATCTGTTTGGCCAGCATGGCAGACAGACTCTAAGGGAAGGTGGCAGCAGAGAGACGTGTGAAGTGGTTGTCACTCTAATCCAGGTGAGAGGTGGTGGGGGATTAATTGCATGAGGGTTGCAAACAAGCCCTGGGCTACACCATCCAGAGCCTAGATGGGAGTTAGAGAAAAGCAACCCTCCTGGGGAGGTGCAGCCCTGCCATTTCACAGCTTAGCAAGTGGAGCATAGGCTAGATTTCAGCATCCCTCAGCCCTCGGCTGGGCTCCCTTGTGCAGTGCACAACCTGCTCAACTGTGTATGGTGGTCCTGGTAAAGATGATACAAAGTGGATGGATGTGAGAGAAACAAAGGGGGACAGACTATTAGGACTGGGTTTAGCTAAGGACAGGAGAGGGTGATGTTAAGTATGCCATTCCCTCCCCACCATTTCTAGCTTGCTAAAGGACCAGAGAGTCTTCAATCCTAGGGTTTATCTCTGAGATGCAACATAGGAGGCCAGACTCTGCTCACAGGTTCGTTCATTCGTTCATTCATTCATTCTACAAACATGTCTGGAATGCTTACTATGTGGCAGTGGGTTTACCTGCCACTGTCTGCACCCCTGGCGTTGGGCCACCGGCCCTTCTGGGACACAGCCCTTTGGGGGCCAGGGCCCAAGACAGGAGGAGAACCGCATTAAAGGCCAACAAGAGCCATCCTCCAAGGAGAATTGCAGCCGAGACCTGTCAGGAAGAAAGAGGAGGGAGGGTGTTGAATGGGGCAGAGAGGGGCAGGTGTATGTCTGTTTATTGGCCAGCTACTGAGTCCTCAAAACCCAAGAGATCTGTGCTATTGTTTGCATATACACAAGCTGAGGCCCAAGGAGGTGGAGTCATTTGCCTCAGGACACGCAGCTAATTAAGTGGCAAAGCCAGAATTAAGATCCAGATTTACAGCCACCATACCCCACCTTTACTGAGTACCTGCTAAACGGCAGGATCACCGGGAGAGACACCTTTGTAATTACCGGTTGCCGAGGCTGTATAATCTTCCTTAGAGGTGTTGGACTGGGAGTCCTGACCCCTTGTCCACATTGTCGAATTTGGGAATGTGCATCGTAACAGAGACTTTCAACACCGTAGCCGTGGTTTTCAGACTTAGCAGCCCTCAGAGGGTGGCCAGGTAGGTGTGTGCAGATGGTACACTGCACACAACCCTTGGAGATGCCTTGGGATCATCATAGATTTGCATATTCATTACATTTCTTTTCCAGCAGATGGCAGTATAGTGTCCTGAAGAAGGGGGCCCTTTTCTTAATGTGTATTAAGGTGCTATATGGACTTGGAGCTGCCTGCAGAATCATCCTGGGTGTTGGCTAAAATGCGGATCGCCAGACTCCACGGCACACCTACAGACTCAGAGGCTCAGTGCGGGGTAGGTGGTGGGGGCCAGAACTTGGCTTCCCCGCCAACCCCCGCCCTCCCCGCCTCTCTGGTAGATGTGATAGAGCCCCCGAGGTCCCAGCCCAGGTGTTACCTTCCAGGCAAGGTCAGGAATATCATCCAGGGACCTGAAGGTCCCACAGCTCTGGTTCCGGCTGTCACCCCGAGGCCGGGAGCAGTAGGTGAGGATGCCAAAGGAGAAGGTGTGGGACTGGAACCAGGAGGGAGAGATGAGGCTAAGGGCTGAGATGCAGGCCAGCGAGAGTCCCAGGGCTGCCCACACGCTGCCCGCCATCAGGGAGCATCGATGACCTAGCGGTCAACAGGCAAGATGAGGGGTGGAAGCTGCCGGGAAGGAGAGCAACAGGAGCTGGTGAAGGACCCCCCCAGTTAGGGACCTGGTGCTGTGTTCAGACACCAGGTCCCCAGCCTCCTTTCTGCCTGGTGATGCAATGGGAGGTGTTAGTATCTGGGGAGGGGGTGGGGCTTTGCCCTAACAAGTTCTGGAAGTAGAATAACCCCAAATCTTAGACTAAAGGTTAGTGCTTAAACAGAACTTTGAACACTCCCGCTCTGCGTGGGACATAGTCATCACCAGTCCAGTCAAGGCCCCGCCCATGTTTCCTTCCTTCCTTCCTTCACTCATTCATTCATTCCTCAGCCCCTCAAGGCTTGCACCGTCCGAAAGGGCTGCCTCTCCCCAGAGGGGGTACCTTTTTCTAAATGACACACAGATGCTGTGTTTCCAGCAGCCACAGTGCCCGGTAGCTCACTCCTCCCAATCACTGACCACTGTAATTATTTAATTGTATCTTTTTGTTTGGAGGTGTTTTTGCAAAATGGGTATTGTTCTGTATGTTGTGTATTTTTTTTTAAAGATTTTATTTATTTATCTGAGAGAGAGAGAGATAGTGAGAGCATGAGCAAGAAGGAGAGGGAGAAGCAGGCTCCCTGCCGAGCAAGGAGCCCGACGTGGGACTCGATCCCAGGGCCCTGGGATCACGACCCGAGCCGAAGGCAGACACCCAACTGACTGAGCCACCCAGGCGTCCCAGTGTTTATTTTTAATTTATGTAATTGACGTTATTTTGTATGTTGCATTCTGCTTCCTACTTCGGGCACCAAGCATAATGCTTTTAGGGTCGATCCACGTTGCTGTGTGTACGCCTATTCCATTTAACTTTGAGTTTCCCAGAAGGCGATCCTGAGACAAGGGTTTGGGTGCAGGCCGTTTACTTGGGAGGTGGTCCCGTGGAGGAGGAAGTGGGATGGGGGGAGAACGCAGCCGGTTAAGAGCGTGTTGCGAAGCCAGCTGTCCCCAGGGTGGCTCTGAGAGATGGGGTACACCCAGCACCTCCGAGTTACCCCTCCCGAGAGCAGAGGGAGGTGTGGACTTCACATACCAATCTCCGCCAGCCATTGGTTGAGGGCTGCCCCCAGCACTGGGTGGCAGCTATGTGTGCAGGGGAAGGGGTGGGGTGGGGCAGGCAAATGGGCTCCAACAGGAACCAACAATAGAGCGGCAATAAAATGCGCAGCGGGCAGATGAAAGGCCACTGCTGTGCGGAGACTCGATGACATTGAGGGGTGCAGAGCTGACTGTGACCGGATCTGCCACCTGCTGCGTGCTATTCCCTCCGCGTTTCACCAACTCCAGCCCTCTGCCGTGAGCGTCCGCGTGCCCGGACTTGAGCCAGAATTTGGGGGGGCGGCGCGTACACTTGGGAACACACTTGCTGTCTCAGATGGCACAGCTCTGTTTCCTCTGAGCGAGAAAGCCCGACTCCTCCCCCGGGATGGCTGCACCATTCCACGGTGTCCCCCTCCGAGCCGAAGGCGCCTGCAGGCCCACGTGCCCATTCATCTCAGTCTCCTCCCGTTTTACAGGTGGGAAAGTAGAGGCCCAGAGAGAGTAACAGACTCCCCCGGACTGACCCAGGAGGCCAGTGTGGGTGGGTGGGTTGGGTGGGGGGTGCCGTCCACACACTGTCATGTGCCAGGCAATTCATGCACATTCTCCAGCTCACATGTTTTGTGACCCCCCGGCCACAAGCCCGGAGGGCCGGAGTGAGCTGGTCTTTGTTGACTGGAGGAGAGCCCCCCTCCGGACCCGTGCGTCTGCTGGGCTGCAGGTGGGTGCTCTGACCTCGTGTTTGACAAGGGAGGACACCGAGGCTCAGAGAGGAGTGGGCGACTCAGCCCAAGGACACACTTAGAAGGGGCTAAGCGGGGGGCGCCTGGGTGGCTCAGTCGTTAAGCGTCTGCCTTCGGCTCAGGTCATGATCCCAGGGTCCTGGGATCGAGCCCCACATTGGGCTCCCTGCTCCGCGGGGAGCCTGCTTCTCCTTCTCCCACTCCCCCTGCTTGTGTTCCCTCTCTCGCTGTGTCTGTCTCTGTCAAATAAATAAATAAAAAATCTTTAAAAAAAAAAAAAAAAGAAGGGGCTAAGGGGCCAGGGGTTTGTACCCAGCCCCGAAGGGTTGGCAGCTGTCCTTCTTGAGAGCCCCAGGGTAAGGGTTCTAATAGTTACCGAGCATCGTCTACCTGCTGCGCGCCAGGCCCTGGTCTAGGTGGCTCCTTGGAGAAGTGAGGGGACATGCCCGGGATCTCACAGCTAAGATGTGGGACAGCAGTACTTGGACCTGGATCTGTCTAATCCTTGAACCAGGATTAAGGTCAGTACTTGACCATGCTCCTTCCCATCTCCTTGCTCGGCCTCATTCAGCCCCAACCTCTACTCTTTCCGCTGTCTTCCTCGCCCCAGCTCTTACCTTTCGTCTAAGGCAGGGCTGTGTATCTGTCCCTCTCTGCTCAGGGGTGGTTGCTTCCCCCGATCATGAGGCCAAGAAAGCCTCTCTGGCCTGGTGATGGCATCTCCCAAGAGAATTTCCTTTCTCTTGCCCTGAGACTGGCCCCGCGCCTCTCTGAAAGTCCCAGGTACAGACCAATGTTCCAACCATTTACAGCCCAAGTAAATGCTTTCACTTGGGGGAGGCATACAGGCCGTGAGGCCCCAGAGGTTCAATTTCTGGCTGTCATATGTATTGGCTGTGTGACCTTGGGCTGGGCACTTACCCTCTCTGAGCCTCCGTTCCTTCATCTGTAAAACAAGCCTGATACTAGTACCTATCTCAGGGGTTGTGGGGAGGATTAAGTGAGAAGACGTCTAGAAGGTACTTTGTGGAGTGCCCTGTACCAGGAGGTCCTCCATACATGGTCGTGATGATGATGATGGTGGTGATCCGGGTGGTGGCTGTGGGACTATTTGCAGTAGTATTAGTATTATTTATAGCTATTGTCTTGTTGCTCACACCAGTTGGGATTAGCAGACACTTCAAAGAGATAAAAACCAAAAATGGAGACCCAGATTGCTTGTGTGACTTGCCTGAGATCCCCTGGCAAATTGGGGGTGGGGGGGAATGGATCGAAGCCAAGACTCCAGCCCCCAGACTGATAAGCAGAAACACCTTCCCCTTCCCTGATGACATCCCTCCAACTCCTGTTCCCCAGTGTCTGTCCCCTTGGCTTGCTCTCAGAGAGGGAAGGGGGCAGGTGGGTGGGGAAGAAGGGGGAGGAAGGGAAGGGTGCCAGCAATGCGGGAGAGCTGAGAGTTACCCGAGAGTGCAGGGAGGGTGAGGTTGGGGGGGCTGCAAACTGCTCCAAAGGGAAGGCAAGACCCTGCTTCAACCACTGAGCAGCAAACACCCACTACTCTGCCCTTGGTGACCCCTCGATCCCTCCTGGGAGGATTGGGCATGACACCCTTCCCTCCACCCCCCTGAGCCCCTCCGACACACTCATTGACAAACACAGCCCAGCACGGCAAGGGCCTCCAGAGAATAACCGTGCTACGGTCCTTGGAGAATATCCAGGGTATCACTTAAATGTCACTAAATCATAAAGTTTGCCGAAGTTACTGAGTTTTCAATTTCCCTTCATTACTTCTCTTTACATCAAGAAGAACGTCCCTGGGCGCCTGGGTGGCTCAGATGGTTAAGCGTCTGCCTTCAGCTCAGGTCATGATCCTAGGGTCCTGGGATCGAGTCCC